CTCTTCCATTCTCTATCCCTGATCCACTACTTTTTTCTTGGGGGTAGGGGCAAAAAAATCTTTATTAGATTTGAAATTTGCTTGGAGACAATTTTATTCACCTTTCTTTGGTTTCCTAGAGGAATTAAAATTTTAATAATAATCAAGATGTGAAGCTGACTAAGAGAGCCTTCCCTGGGTCCTCTGGCCAGAGGGTAGAGATGTGTAGCTTTTGGAGAGGCAACTTCTGACTTTTGGTAAAAGAATTATACTTCCCTAAGGTTAAGTCGGAATCGACTCCACGGCAGCTAACAACAACAAGGTTAAGTCTCTTAAACTTGATTATTCATATCTGTAACTTGGGGTCCTGGTGGTGCAGTGGTTAAGAGCTATGGCTGTTAACCAAAAGATCAGCAGTTCAAATCCACCAGCTGCTCCTTGGAAACCGTGTGGGGAAGTTCTGTTCTGTCCTGTAGGGTTGCTGTGAGTTGGAATCTACTTGACAGCAACTTTTTTTTTTTTTTTTTAATCTATAACTGTTTCTAGTAATTCAAACAATGATCTTATTTTCTAATTTCCGAGGTAGTATTTTAAATGCTAGCTCATCTCATGACAAAGACATTTGGTTTCTATTCCTATTGAAATTAAGCATTCTCTTAATATCTGACTGAAAATTATATATTGTAGTATTTGGAGGTTGATAAAGAGAATAAAATGTTTTGCTTTTAAATGTGCCTTCTAAGAAAAACCACTGTCCAGAACAAAAAAAAGCGTTTGTTTTTCCATTGCCCCCCCAAGAGGGCTTCACCATTTCTCCTACATAAGGAGATGAGCAACTGAACTGAAGAGCCAAGCTCTTGTTGCAATGTTAGCTGCCACCGAGCCAGCCCCCAATTCATGGTAACCGCATGCACCAGAACAAAATACTACCCAGTCCTTGCACCATCTTCACATTTGGGTTGCATATCAGACCATTGTGATCCTTAGGGTTTTGATTGGCTGATTTTCAGAAGTAGATCTCTAGGCCTTTCTTCCTTGTCCATCTTTGTCTGAAAGCTCTGCTGAAACCTGTTCAGCATCATAGTAAGACACAAGCCTCCACTGACAGATGGGTGGTGGCTGCATTTGAGGTGCATTGGTCTGGAATTGAACCCAGGTTTCCTGCATAAAAGGTGAGAACTCTACCACTGAACCACCAATCAAATTAGAGATAAAGTCTAGATGAAAAGCACGAATCCCCGCCCCCCCATGGGAAACATGCCAGAATGGGAGCACACCTAGTAACCTCAATCTCATACTGTAACAGTGGAGAAAGAAGAAGAATTCTACATTTACAGGACCACTGAGAAAACAGTCTGTTGGGAAATACCATCTATGGTGAAGGCATTGAGAGAGGGTGAATGTTCACAGGACGCTGCAGGAGTCACTCACATGCCCGGGCAGGTTCTTGCCATGGAAACAAGGGCTTACTTACCCTCTTGCATTTCCCCTCACTCTGAGGATCTTTCAAGGTGACTTTCTTGGAGTAGCCAAATGTGGGTAATCTAGGCAACGTGGACATAAGTCTCAAGGTTTATAATGTAAAAGAATGCCAGCCTCATCCTTGACTTTTAAAAAGTAAAATAATAACTTTAGCGATATTACTGTTTTTGATTGTTGAGATGGCACTGTTAGTAAATGATGCTAGTAGAATGTACTTCTTAAAATACTGTATTAAATACAAGGTTTCTCCTCAGGAAGAAGGGGGGGATTGTAACAAGCCTTACAATTTGGGAGGAGGCAGAGTGGATGACCAAAATAAAGCCTGGATTGGGTTTTGAAGTTAGCTACTGATCTGAGGCTTTGAAAGGGTCATCTTACTTTCTAAGGCCTTTTGTAGGCAAAAGTGATTCATCTCTTCTATGCATCCAATCCCCTGCTTGCCTTCCCAGGAGTTCTGTTTCCCTTGTCTTTCTTGATTTTCCTGACCTTGCTTATGGATTCCACATTGTTAAAGCAAATGAGTCTTATACCCTCTCCCATTCCCTTCCTTCCTGTTGAGCCAACCCTAAACACCTCTAGCTTATTATTTCTCTTCCCTTGCTCTCCTGGTCCTGTAACCAGCCCTAGCGCAAACCCCTAGACTCTCCCTCTGCACTGTCTTCCTCCTGAGCTGACTAGAGCCTGATAGCATTTACAAGGAAGTACATAGGTGTAGAATCTGACAGACCTGAGGTGGAACGCTGTTCACTGTGTAACCTTGGGCAAGCTGCTAATGCCTCAGTGTCCTTGTCTGTAAGGTTAGAATGTTGATAGCACCACATCATGGAGTTGTCAGAAGAAATAAAAGATGATGTATGGTCTCATCCCACGGCCTGGGGCACAGTCAGAGCTCAGGAAAGTTCTACTATTGTAATTATTACTACTATTGAGAATAACATTATTCATATGATTTTAAGTGTTGATTGGGTGTGGAATTCTGTTGCAAGCCAGATAATTGGCCCTAAAATTTTAGAGTTGGACCTTCTAGAAGGCAACCATAGAGAACGCTGGGGTCCCATGTTATGTCTGAGGTTATTTAATGGTATTGATGAAGTTACAGTTACCAGACAGCCATCATCAAATAAATCACTCATGGTGACAAGTAAACAGCCATCAACCTAACACAGAAAAAGACAGTCACTTAAAGATGACAGTGTTAGCCTTCAATTTTCTAATGACTTTTGAAGAAGAGTAACCATGTTACTATTCCCTGGAAGGGGGTTCAGGTTTATATGCTTCACTGTGCTTTTCTGAGAAAAAAAGCAGCTGATTAACAAGAAACACAGGTATTCTTTACTGTCTGAACCCTTGCTATCAGAACTCAAAAGAGATTTGGATAAACTTTTAGATGAATCCTTTAGTACATGAGCTCTCACTACGTGCCATCCATAACTCAGGAACCAAATTAATATGGATAATGCAGAATCCCTCTTTAACCTAACTCGTCTTCTGAACTCTCAGTGTCTAAACCCAGGAACTGAATAGATTTGGATGGTAAGAGATACTCATATTGATTTTCATAATATGAATTTGGTTCATAAGAAAGCAGTTAACATGTTCCAAAGTAGTCTTTTTAGGAAGACATAGGCAATTTTAGAATGAGTTCTAGAATAAAAATTAAAATGTAATGTTTGCATCAGACAGACTTCAAGGTTGCAAGCAACAGAAGCTGACTCTGTTGATTGAAGACCCTATTAAAGGATATTGGCTGGCTCACAAAATCCTTGAGAGGGCTAGAAAACAGGTTGCAAGCTTAGCTTCTAAGAATAGGCACCACACCCAGAACTGGTCTAATGAGGAAAGGGCTGCAGGGAGCATTAGCTAAAGTCTGTGCTGTGCTCACTTCTGCAGTGGACTAATGGAACTGCCACTTCCACTGTCACCAGTGGCACCATCACCTTAGTGTGAGGTTCTCCACGTCATCGCTATGACACTGCTAGCCAGTGCTAGAGAGAGAGGGAGAGAGAGGAAGCACGCTCCATACTTACCTCTGGTGTCACCAGCTCCCGAGGCCAAGTCTGGCACGGGTACAACTGAAGGGCCAAGCCCTGGTTATAAAGGAGGCTGGGAAACAAGCTCTAGCGTCTCCCCTGGGGATGTGGGATCCATAACGCTGGCAGTTCTCCAAATGCAGGCAGGCTGTTCAAAAGGTGGGGGTAGCTACAAATAGGACAGGTACCCACTAGAGCAGTGTTTCAATATTTGCCTTATAACCTGTCATGGATTGAATTGTGTCCCCCAAAAAATGTGGGTAGCAACTTGGCTAGGTCATGATTCCTAGTATTGTATGATTGTGTTGTCTGATGTGATGTCCTTATGTGCTGTGAACTCTACCACTATGATGAGATTATATGTGATCTCCTCATGTGTTGTTCTGTCACTGTGATGAGGTTATACTGATGAAGTTGACAAGATCAGTGTCTTAATGCAATCTCTTTTGAGATATAAAAGAGAGAAGTGAGCAGAGACACATGGGAACCTCATACCACCAAGAAGGCAGTGCTGGGAGCAGAGCATGTCCTTTGGACCTGAGGTTCCTGTGCAGAGAAGCTCCCAGACCGAAGGAAGACTGATGACATGGACTTTCCTCTAGAGCCAACGGAGAAAGTGTTCCCCTGGAGCTGATGCCCTGAATTTGGACTTGTAGCCGACTGGACTATGAGAGAATAAATTTCTCTTTGTTAAATCCATCCACTCGTGGTATTCCTGTTAGAACAGCACTAGATGACTGAGACATAACCCTTCAGTTGATGGTAAATCGATTTAGTGGATTGAGGCCCACCCTTCTTTTGTCTTTGTTTTAATGAAACAGAATAGAAGAGAAAGTAAAGTATTGGTGTGTCACTTGTAGTAAGGTAAGTTTTGTCCTGAGACACTTTTCTTTCAGTTGTGTGGAGTCTGTGTGTACCTGAACTGGGTTGCCCTGTAATGGGTATTTTGTTACCACGAGTCATGATCAAAAGCCACTGCACTAACATGCTAAGTGCTCAAAGGGTTTGTTTCCAGTCGCTCACCACTCCACTTGTTTTCAAATCACGCAGTATTTCTCTCTTCTGTCTCTCTGTCTCTATACACTCACACAGCTGGGCTTTCCAGAACCCCGGATTCCTAGGTAGCTGGGAGCTTTCACTTGTTAAGTTGCAGTATGTATTATGGAAACTTAAAGGCTACCCTGGTAACCTACTCACTGTTATAACGTTGTTTCCATGGGAAATTATGTTCTGAGTTCTAAAGGAAAAGCTTTTTTTAAAAAAAAACAAAACCTGATATTTTGGAAAGTGCTGCCTGTTAGGATTGTAATGCTGTTTGTTACCCTGTTGATGAAAAATTTCAATCTAGACTTTGACCTCAAATTATTTATGTTAAAAAAAATAAATAAATAACCTTAGAAAGCATTTTATTATCCTTGTCTGTGTGGAGATCAGTAGTGCTTTCTTTACTTTTTGTTTTCTCTGTTTGAAATCAATTCATTCTAATTCCATAATGTTATCTCTCTGCAGGTCCTTTTACTAGGCCTCATCCAGCCTTATGGAGAATGGTTTTTGGTGAGTTTCCACTAGTAGATTTGAAAATATATATATATTTTTAAGATTTTTTTCTGTATATAAGTATAGCAGTTTTACTTACCGCTCTATAGTTAAAATTTTATAGCTTTTTACTTTCTGGGTTCCTAATATATATTTTTTAGTTAAAATTCTTTGCCATAAAATAAAGCCCTGGTGATGACTTACACTGCTCTTACAAGTGAATTCTCAACTCCACATACTCCTTCTTGTGCCCTTGTCTCATAACATACACAGGATTTCACTTGTTTTGCTCTTTTCACTGTATGCTTCTTCATGTTGCTGTTTGCTGGCACAAGCTCAGATGCAGCCTATGAGTACATTTGTCAGTATCCCGGAAGGGATGAAAACTCAGCAGTCCAATTTCTTCAGCCTTATGAATGAGAAAGAGCTTGGAAAAGGGAGAAGCCTTTAGACAAAGAGCCCTAATAAAGTAGCCTTATTTTCTGCTGTCTGATTGTTGTTGTGAGTTGCTAGTTGCTGTCTAGTCGATTCCGACTCATGGTGATCCATGTGTGCGGAGTAGAACTGCTCAGTGGGGTTTTCAAAGCTGTGACTTTTTAGAAGCAGATCACCAGGCCTGTCTTCTGAGGAGCCTCTGGCTAGATTCAAACCATCAACCTTTTGGCTAGGAGTTAAACTCTTAACCGTTTGCTCCACCCAAGGACTCCATGCCAGTATTATTAATGTTGTACAAATGAAACAATGTAAAGATATCTTGGTACTATGTTTTTACCTGAGGCAGTCATTCAACTCCTTTTCAGAATTAGGGCTCAAAATTAGGTAAGAAATGTATATTTGACATTTTTTCAGTTTAATTAAGGTTTAGTGATAAGCATCTAATATAAATATTGGATGTGTTGTTTATACTTGATTTTCTAGTCCAAATAGTCAAATCACCTGGAAGGATTTAAAATAAATGTTTAAAGCTTTGTCTATTTGGATATTGGCTTTTGTCTTGCCTAAATAAGACATCAAATGAATTATTTTAGATTTGACAAATACAAATCTCATGTGACAATGTAAAAGGACTCTAAAAATTGATATTTCACTAAAGGTTGCCTATTTTCCCTTTCAGCCTTCAAAGCTCATAGATAAATCTCGTTGTCCCTTTGAACTCATTGATAAACTTTCTGTCATTCATTCAGCAGATACTCACTGAGTGTTGTGGGTGGTAGGTACTGCTTTGGGCACTGAGGTCACAGGAGAGAACAGACAGACAGGAGCCTGCCCTCCAGGAGCTGACCTTTCAGTCAGGGGGAAGGAGGACATGTGTAAAGAACAAATCATTAAATGATCCAAAAATATCAGATGTCGCTAAGTGTTAGGAAGTTACTTAGAACTGCATGAGTTGATGGTAACTGAGTGGTGCTTTGGCTTGGGTGGTCAGGGAAGGCTTGAGTAGGTGACATTTAAGCTGAAGCCTGCCTGCAAAGAAGGATCAAACTGTGCAAAGATAGTTGTTGGGGTGGAGGGGCATCCCAGGCAAAGGAGAAGGCTCCTGAAATAGTCCTATGGCCAGAAACAGCTTGGTGAATTCCAGGCCATTGTGGGCAGAGTGTAACGGGCCTGGGGAAAGTAGTAAAAGAGAGGTCACCAAGTGGGACATAGACTGAAGCCTACAAGGCTGGTGGGCCAGGCTAAGGAATACGGACTTTCAGGGCAGTGGAAAGTCATGGGAGAGTTCTCCTCAGAGGAAGGACGTGATTTCATTTACATTTATAAAAAAGATAGTCCTGGCTGCATCATATTTGTATTTCACAGACTTAATATTGCTATTTGACGTTATAAGTTACTTTGGGCTTCCTGGTTATATCTGAGTTTTTCTTATTTCGCGTGATCCATGTATATAATGGGCAGTTTTATTTCTTAACCTGAGGCCTTTTTTGGGCTTATGGAGTTCTTTGATAGTTAATGAAAACTATAGACCATTTCTCAGTACACATGCATATGCTTGCTCATGCACAGTTCTGCATATAGTATCCAGTGTGACCATGAACTTCAGTTTAAGGATGAATCTCTGCTCCACAGACACTTTCTGTCCTAAAATAATTGTTTCAAAAGGATCATAATTAAAAGGTATGGTGGAGACGTTTAAGGTGAAAATCCATAAAAGTAGCTGGTGTATAAGTGTAAACCTAAAAGGAGGTTCTCATACCAACAAGCCTGACAGTGTGTGTCCCCTGGGCCCCTGGCATGCATGATTGTGTCAGCAACACCTCTCTGGAGCCTCCCCTGGGCCCCCTGCGGGCCCTGCTGGAATCCTTGGTGCTGTAGTGGTCACAGTGAATTTCATTCCAGCCACGCATGTTCTCTGGAGCAGCTCGTTGGAGATTAGTGCTGAGCCAAATTTGGATGGGGTTCCGTGATCCAAGGTCATTTGTCTCATGGTATCTAGATGTCCTTCTAGCAGTTTCACAGGAGACATTGCAAAGCTACTGGTTGTTGATTTTCACATCTTTCTAAAATGAATTACACTATACCTTCTTAAAAGTACATTATAGTAATTTTCTTTTTTAAATTATTGGGGGTGATTTTTAGAGTAGCAGTTATGATGATATGTTAGAATAATGCCTGCAAGGACAAATACGGAGTGTAACACTTGGATAAGGGCTCTGGTCCACTGAAATAGTCCCTGACTTGGCCGTCCACACCCATCCTTGCCCACCTCCAGTCCAGTACCCACAGAGCAGCCAGAGTCACCTTTGTAAATTACCTAGAGTATCTTATTTCCCTACTGAAAACCTTTCAAGCGTTCTCCACATCACTTAAGATAAAATCTGAAATCTGGCTATGGCCTTGCAGCCCTGCTCTCCCTGGCCCTGACTGTCACCTTAGTGCCCTCTGGCTCCATTCCCCTTTCTGCCAGCATGTCAGTGTGTGTCACATCCTAGACATTTCACTTTTCAGGGACCTATCTGCACACTGATGTTGCATCCATACCTCCACGCCCACCCACACACCCTTTGTCTCCTGGTCCTTCGAGTTTCAGCTTAAGCATCATTTTCTCAGACTTTTACTAAACTCCTCCCCCTAAATCTGAGTTAGGACCGTTTGTCAGACTCTGTCATCAAAGAAAATATCAGATTGTAATAAGGGTCTCAGCAGAGTACATTACAATAGTAGCATGTTTTTGGCAGTAAGCTGTTGAGTCTAATGCGTGTTTTGTGTCTGACAATCGGATGTCTCCTGAACTTGAGTATGTCCTTGTTTCCCTCAGGACTCAGTGTGCTCTACTTCCTGTTCCTGGTCTTCCTCCTCTTCCTGAATTTCGAGCAGGTGAAATCTATAATGTATTGGCTAGATCCAAATCTTCGCTATGCCACCAGGGAAGCAGATATCATGGTATGTACTTGTCAACGGTCTCTTAGAGAAAGCAGTAGATTCTTGGGTGTAGGGAGTAGCTGAGTTTACATTGTAAATTGTTCGTTCTCCACATTTCCTGTGTAGATATCTAAAACCCAGATCTCTAAGCAAGTTGTTGAAGTGCATGGTTTTCCACATGTAATACAGTCCAGGGAAATGGAACCCTTTCGTGGAGCAGAGGGTTATGGTAGGAAGAGTGTGAACATTACCATCCGACAGCCTCGGGCTTGAATTCTGCCTCTGTCACTTGTTAGCTAAAGGACTTTGGGCAGAGTACTTGTTAGCCTGTTTCCTTTTTGTCAGATGGAAATAATAATACTTATTCTGGGGAGTTATCATGAACTAAATGGAGTCCCTGGGTTGTAGAAACAGTTAACACACTCAGCTGCTGACCAAAAGGTTGGTGATTAAAGTTCACCCAAAGGTGTCTTAGAAGAAAGACCTGGTGGTCTACTTCCAAAAAATCAGTCATTGAAAACCCTATGGAGCATAGCTGTACTCTGACACACATGGGGGTGGCCGTGAGTTGGAATTGACTCTGTGGCAGTTGGGTTTTTTTTTTTTTTTACTGGCTTTATATGCAGTTGTGTTATCTGCAAGGCCCACCACACACACACAAGGTCCGTGGTGATGGTGGTTGCTCCTGCTACCCTCAGTGTCATCAGCACCCTCCCCCACACCCGGATGCCAGGATCCTTCCCACTTGCTTGCCATGAAGGGGCCATTTGTAATTACTTAGGCCATTTCATTTTTCATTTATTTATTAAACCATGAAAAACTTTGTGCTTGGCTAAAACTACTCTGTATTTTGGCTCTTAGTCAAGAGACTATTTTATTTTTTAATGCTATTCCTTTCCAGTGTTTTTTATGCCTAACATTTGATACAGGTTGAAGAAAAACTTGACGATGTTGGAAAACAGGCATATTGGACCATGGACAGGTTTGCTTTAAAAGACAGGAAATAACATGAAGGGACTTAATAATAGGGCCAAGAAGTAATCATTCTACTGTAGTTGAGATTGGTCAGACCCTTTTTGGAATGGCGCTTATTTTATCTTTAACTTTTATAAAGGAGATGCTGAAGGCAAAAATTGTTTAAAAGTTTCAGGGAGCAAAGTCTCTTTTGGGGTTTCTTACTACAAGAAAGAGACTGGTAAAGGATGGTGTACTAGTAAAGTAGAGGGTCAGCGAAAACGAGAGAAACCCTTCATGAGATGAATTGACACAACAGCCGCAACAGTGGACTGAACCATACAAATAATCATGACGATGGCACAGAGCAGGCAGTGTTTTGTTCCGTTATAGCTAAGGTCGCCATGAGTCGGAGCTGGCTCGAGAGCAGCTAACAACAACAAATGATAATGATGATGATGAAGATGAGGATGGTAACAGTTACTGTTAAGTGTCCACTCTGCCAGGCACTGTGCTGCGTGCCTCACTGACATGCTAGGAGTTAACATCCCCATTTTACAGATGAGGAAATA